GAGAGAGAGAGAGAGAGAGAGAGAGAGAGAGAGAATTTTAACATTTTATTTCTTAGTTTTCGGCAGACACAACATCTTTGTTGGTATGTGGTGCTGAGGATCGAACCCGGGCGGCGTGCATGCTAGATGCGCGCGCTACCGCTTGAGCCACATCCCCAGCCCCCCAAACTATCTTAAGGAAATAAATAACAAATCTTTATTTTTTCATAAAATGATAGTACTTCACTAACTAGCAAAGTAAATTAAATAAACCAATCAGCCTACCTAATATTGAGGTCAAAATCATTCAAAATCTAAATCTTTAAAATAAACAATTTCCTCTGATGTCCTCTTTCAACCAGTATGTCACATCTGAGTCACACACTTAGCTACCCACTGACCCAGCATATATGACTTCTAAGGAAAACATCCCCTGTATTGTTTTAGAAACCATTCAGCTCTCTCTCTTGAAAGGCATGTTAATTATCTAGATTTAATCACTCACTTCAGATTTGATAGCAGCCCTGCTTTTCATTGTACCCATAGAGGTATATGAAGTAATTAAACTTCTAGCTTTTAAGAAGCGTATCCATTAACTCTAAAAGGTCCTCAGCAAAACTTGAGTTTTTCAGAAATTCTATCTGGAATTGTAATGACCCCATCATTTAGGTAGCTTAGGAAATTTGAGGGCCTGAAATTTGAGCCATATTTTAAATGACTATTGCCATCTCCACCGGCATTCACACAAGTGTTCTTATAAACAGTGGTGGAAATGAGTTAAGTCACAAGGGGAAACAGCAATTCCACTTTACAAGGGAGAGGTCATCTTCCTTCCCAAAGTCACTCCACCTCTCTGGGATTGAATAGCTTTTATACAGAAAGATGGTTTTCCTGGCCAGTGGCTAAGAGGAAGGGGGTGCCCCATAAAGACCTGGTTTCCTTCCTCAACGGTGTCCAAACAGGATTCTGAGCTTCCGCTTTGATACACAGTCGCACTTAATAAATTGTGGGTGTTAAAGTTGAAAGAAATAAATACAAAAACAGCATTGCAGTTTGCCAAGCTGAATTGGATCCAAATTAGCTTTGCTTCAAATCCATAGTCATTGTACTGTTATCTTAAAATTTCCATGATTTCTTAAGGGTTAGGGTGGGTCAAGAGAAGAACAAGAGGTATCAGTATAAAAAGAAATATTTCATAGCAAAAGAAGATTTTTTTTTAATTTGGTAAATGGCCATTTCCTGTTACTCAATGTCCCTTGCATTGTGTCAGCAAAAACCTGTATCCACCTAGGGACATTAAAGCCGTCATCAAAGTTAGAGATATAATTAAAGCAATCCATGTTTAGCACTTTTGGAAAAATAATTCATTTAAAATGTACAAATTTTAAAAGTTCAAAAATTACAAAAAATAAAGACCCTTTGAACTTCCTCAAACATCACCATCCTTTCCTTTGAACATAAATTAGAATGTGGCAGGTATTTTTAAATTTTTCTTAAGAATTTATACTTATAAAAATAGCCTTGAAAAAAGTGTTTAGCATTTTTTGCCTAAGTGATATGCTGGATGTATTCTGCAACTTCATTTTGTATTTACCAATATTATTTGTAATTTGATTACATTCATAAACAGATCTCATTTATAAACTACTCTTCATGTTCAACATGCAAATAAACTAAGATTTATCAATTCTGTTGATGAACATTTATTAATTTCACTTTTTCAATCTGTTCACCATAAGGAATATCTTTTGGGTCATAGTTAAAGATAAGTGGAAATGGAAACATACTGTAATAGTTTTCAATTGAAATGTGTTTGGGTTATTAATAGGTTAATGCATTTGAATATTTAGTGTTAGAATTAAATACTGAAATAGTAACAGAAGAGACTAGCTTTTAAAATATGTTCACTTTCTACTGTCTTTATGTAATTAAACTTCTGACAAAACAATATAGGATTACAAGTTCTTCTGTAACATCCTAACTTGCCAAATTCTTGTGTGAGTGCATGTATACACAGGAAATGAAAACAAAACATACACACAGGTATATATCACATACACACKTCAGTTATGCTTATTATTTGTACTTAGACTTTTGAAGATTATTCCTCATTGTCAGTAATTTTATATTTATATATAAATCTCAGAACTTTACTTATCATATTCAGTGAGAAAATAAAAGCACAAAGAATATTTAGAAGAGAGCATATACACAAATTTTCATCCCTGGCTATAAGATAATGCTTCAACTTAAAACTCAGTTTAACTTTCAGCTCTGTATCAACAAAGGCAAGAAGGAAAGATAGTTACGTAACTCTGAAGAGTCTTCAGGGGATGAATCTGAGAGGACTTCATTTGACTCAAATATAAGTGTCTTGGATGAATTTTGTCAGATAACTCTTTAAATCAACCTATTATTCATCTTTTTATACTGAATTTTTCATATGTAAAGAGTGCCTGATACTATGCAGTAATTTGTGGCAGGCATCTCCCCACAGCAGTAATATAGTTAACCTCATTAGGAACTAAAATGTCCATAACCAGAAAAATGGGTGTTTTCATGTCTAGTAGATGTTTTCAAGCATATTTTGTCTATAAAGCTTATATCAGGAGCCTAGGTAGGCATTATTTTATTGGTAATTTAGCTAATAAATGAATGAGTACAGGAAGCTTGCTTCTGAGTAATGATTCAGAATTTTGTAATCAAAAAGAAAGTTACTGAGAAATTAGTCTGGTTTAAAATTTTTAATCTGACCCACAATAATTCTCAAACTATTCAACATTTTCGTATAGTAAAGATTATTAAATCTGCTTAAATGAGCTCTAAGCAAAGTCAATATGAAAAGCTTTTTAAACATTGTTTGGTAGAAAATAATTTTTGAGTCCAATAAATGTTATAACACTCATTATATTAGAAAACTAACCTATTTTATAAGCAGCATGTAATAGGCACAGGTATGTAAGAATACAGAAAAAAGTTGCGTCTAGAAATTTAAAAAAAAATAATTATTTTCCAATAACTTGACATTTACTAGAAGAAAAAAAAACTTTGATGTAATGAGTTATCAAGTGATTCAACAGCAAAATTGATCAGAAGCATTACGAAGGAATAAATCCACCAGTTGATTTAAGTAGAAAAGACACACATTTAAGATCAGAATCCAAATACAGAGTCATCTTGATTCCTTCATTGTTTGACCTAAAAATTAGAAAATGGAGAACACTGGGGTATAACCTAGCATTTTCTATTAGATGTCTTTCATTTCATGCAAAAGGCAAAACTCGTAACTGTGAGAACACCATGGTGCACGGTTAGTCCCAGCTGATGTAAATGTAATAAAATGTGATGAGGACAGACATGTGGCTTGGCAAGAGTACAATACACTTTATCTGGGGTAGCTAGTCATCCATGAGCAAGAGGGTGGGGACGGACAACAAGTGGCAGGAACTTACAGGGAGGAAATCAGACACATACATYCAAGAGAGTCCACAGGTCACAGGACTGGGAACCCACAGGGAACCTTATCAAAACAGCCATCTGGAAAACGGGAACTGTTCTGCCAAATCTCCCCTAGTCCTACTAGTTAATTTTTAACCCCTTAAGGGAAACTATTGCTTCAAGATCCTGTCATACCCTCCCCTTGTGTCTAGGTCATCAAGACAAAGGGGCAATAAACTACTTACAGGATATGAGGGAACAAGAACAAAGGCACCTCAAATCCTTAAAAGTCCTAGGTTCTAAAAGCACCATGGTGTCCTCCCTAGAAGGGACCCAGTCAGTGCCTGTCCTGAACATTTGTGCTCTTGCTCTTCCTGGTAAAGTCCTGCTTGAAATCCATCCTGCAGGATGGCAAGAACTGGTGGCTACTGATTTTCATGGTCTCTTTGGCTCCATGGGTCTCCCCTGCAACAGCAACAACTCAAATTTTTCACCCCACTTGGAAACAGGCCTGGTTCCAATGACAGGAGTTATAACCAACAGGAGAGATTAAACTGTCCACTAGGTCATTGTTGGTTCTGCAGGGAGTACTGTCACCAATCAGCCAAGGCAGCACAGAACTCCTTTTAAATAAAAAATATACAGGAAACATTCCCTTATATAATAACCCATTCTCCCACATTGTTCAGAATGGTTCTCTACCTCACAAATATTCTAGAGTGAACCTGACTAATCCTCAGTTGTAATTCATTAAGTTCCTTTCCAATTTTTAACAGTTGTAAACAGTGTGATGAATTTATCCGCAGATGTCTCTATGCATTCATGATACATTTCTA